AACTCAGAAAACTGAAAGGACATAATCCTCGCCATATCCCTTTAAACTAGGGAAGAATCCCCGCTTTGCGGGATTGGATACGCCAAAGAAAACGACAAAACGGGAAGATTTTATTAAGTTACATTGAATTGATTACATTAAACTTGTTTTCTAGTCGACAAGTTCATTTTTTATCACACACTTCTACTTTGCAATCCTTTTGTGGATAGATCCTATCATGAAAGCTATATTATCTTCAATGGATAGGTCATCAGTTTTGTAGTTTGGATGTTATTCTTAAGTGGAGAAGATCTTGTTTCTTAGTAAAAGCTCTTGTTTTAGCCAATGCATACATATAGACAATGAAAATCTTTGTGGGATTTAAAAAATGACATTTCTTGGATGATAATGACCTGAGAAAGTTTCTTGGAATGTGGTTTGATAACCATCCACCCACATCTGTTTGTAAACATCAGTAGTAAACTATTTGCAAAGTAATAACTAAAAATCAACAAAATATAAAAAGGGCATACTGGTAAATGGTACCTCGGTGATAAGTTCCAACGGCTGAACATAATATTTTCCATGAAAGAGAGGTTCCCTCAAAAGAGTCTTTAGTAAAATGCAACTAACAAACCATACATCAATGAAGTTCAAGATATAGTTAGTATGGTGCAAATTACATTGATCATGAATTTAACTATTATTAGGTAATTAATAGATCAGAGCCTGATCACTTTCTTGGATAATCAATTAGATGAAATCAAGTTCTTGGAATAGTTACACTAGGCTGTTTGGACCACTTTCACTCTTCCTTGGTGTCTGACATTTCCACAAACACTTGTTAGGCACCAACATACATTAGTTATCGACATATTTTATCATTTACTTAAATATAGCAAATAAAAGCAAACGATCCAATGCAATTAAGTTGCATTGACTATGTAGAAGAGATCGAAATCAATCTTGAAATGGAACCGAAGTAACCGTCATAAAGGTAGACTAGCAATGACGAAAAGTTGTCAAAACAATTGATATTATCATGTAAATAATCATATTTCCTAATATATAAATTAAAAAATAAAATATGAGATACCTTAGTTTTGTTGTTGATTGATTCACACAGACTATAATTACAAACCTGGAAAACACATATACATACATGATTATAAATAAGCCAACATTAAAAAGAAATCATAACAATATTGAGATAACCAAAAAGTAAAAAAATCATGAGAATCTCACCAGAAAATGTTGTGGTCTGTTATGTTAATACACAATTATAACATATCTGTGTATAATAACAATGTAATTATTTGAAATTAGACAAATCACATACATGTATATAATAAGGACCAAGATAGCCGAAATAAAATTAGACATGGCACTCGAGAAAAAGATTAAAATAAAGCATAATTAACTTCCTCAATGAAGGATTCCCAATTTTTATCTACACTGGTTTGCGAGCGACGGAAATTCGAGGATTTGTAACCGACTGTAATCGAATATCAGAAAATAGAAGACAAGGTGAGAAGGAGGCGAGAGAAAACACCCGGACAACCAAGGAAGGTCTAGACGACGCAAAATCGAGGTGTTTTTTTTGAAAGCTTTACAACGCATCAGCTTCTCAGGTAAGCCAACGGATGGTTAGTAGCAGGTGGAGCGGATCTTAGTGGGAGGAAAGAAAAAAAAGGGAAGAAATATCATACCTGGTGGCGTAACGTTGGTCAAATGATTTACAGATGAGAGTGGAGATGGAGACGTAGACAACAAAAATGGAGTTTAGGGATTTTGCATCTCTTATCTGCAACATAAAGACATTTAAGAAGAAGCGTTCAGGGGCGGTGGATCGGTGGAGCCTTGACCTCTGTCTATATCTAACTAAAGTCGTGAATGATGAAAATCATGGCGGTGGTGAAAGTCTATAGAAGAGACTGTGGAAGGAGAAGGGTAGCAACGACGTTAAAGGGACGTAGAAAAAAAAAAGAAAAGCGGTTGTTTTATCTGAGTGGATCAAAGCCGGTGGAAGGAGGAACGGTGGAAGCAGAACAAAGAAAGAAGGGTATGAATAGCAAAGCTCTAGTGGGTTCGTATACTTCCAAGGAATGAAGCGGTGGAGACGCACATTAGTCTCATTCGTATTGGTTATACAGGCGGTGGACAGGAAGATTAAAAATAAAAAAATAAAAAATTGGCCCAATCAAAACAGAGTACTGTTCACAAGGGGCTTCCAAATTACTATAATATATAATGTATTTCTTTGCTCAACTCTCACGCCATCTATCTTCCGCCACCATCATCGCTAAAGAAGAAAGAAAAAAAGAACTTTCTTTTATTGAACTTGTAGCATGATCAAAAGATTGCTAAAATTATCATTTTGCTAGTTATTAGAAAATAAAAAATAAATTAAAATATACTATAACATCCATACCAAGATATTTAGGGCTGGTCATACAACTAATTTAATAAATAGATCAAACCGAGAAAGTTCAAAATTTTGATATTTGACTATTCGACTCTTGACTTTAAAAGTATGTTTGACTAGAGACCACACCAATATAAAAAATATATATTCAAAATAAAATTCAAAATGTTAAATCTTGTTAAATTTATTATTTTATGTTTATCTGGAAACACATACCAATCATTTTGTAATTATATGATAAGGCTATCCAAAGTGGGGCATTATTCGGACGTATCGACATGAACACCATCTCAACGGTAATGCAGTCGGCGTCATTGTCATTGGAATTATGCAAGGTCCGAATCACACTTGCAGACGTCTCTTTTTATCTATCTCTCTATTCTTCTCCTCTCTCTCACTCCGGATAGCCAAATATGTTGGTAGTGATTTGGAAGGGTCTACCGTCTTGTAACCATCCAATCATTTTGTAATTTCATTCATTTGTTGACCATGGTTTGTAGGGGTCAGTCCTCTTGTAAGTTGTAATTGTCCAACCAATTTGTAAACTAAGGGTCAAAATTGACTTTTTTAGTTTTTACGCAATTGAGTTTACTGATTGATTTGGTTATATATATATATATATATATATATATATATATATATATATATATATATATATAGGTTTAGGTTCTATGGAAAACAAAAAACCCTAAAAATAAAAAAAAAATGCATAAAAAAAATACTTAGAGATCACAAATATATTTTTTTTTAATTTATATTCTTAAAAATCGCAACTTTTTATATAATTTCACTGATTTTTTTTTGAAAAAAAAAACAAAAAGAAAAAAAAATCGATTTTTTATTTTCTTTTTTCAGCGAATTTATAAAAAAAGCTGCGAATTTTTGGAATATAAAGTCAAAAAAAAGATTTGTGATCTCTAAGTATTTTTTTATTATTATGTATTTTTATGATTTTTAAGGGTTTTTTTGTTTTCCATATATATATATATATATATATATATATATATATATATATATATATATATATATATATATATATATATATATATATATATATACTAGGAACCTGATGAGGGTCGTGATAATCACGGCCCTATAGAGTCGATTCCGGAGCGGAGTTTGATCACAGTTAAGCGAAATGGTAAACTAAAATAGTACAGTGTAAAAAGATAATATCTACATAACTGTGTAGTCATTATAAGAAGTTTAAGTTGAATGTTTATTCTTTTACAAATCGTAAAAGTGTAATAAAATATAGTGTGTTTACTAAAACTTGTGCATTGCATTCCATGGTGTTAAGAGAATGTGCAACATGTTTATACTCTTGATGAAAATATAGGCAATATAGCATTGTACTTTAAAAGTACAATGGTGTACTTTAAAAGTACAATGTTGTAAGGAAAGAAAAGATATAATTTAAGTACATTGCCATTTGTCCCATATAGAAATACAAAATCACAAAGCATACCCTTGCTAGAAATATTGGCAATATAGCATTGTAATTTAAAAGTACAGTGTTTTAATGAGAAAAAGATATAATTTAAGTACATTGGAAATACAAAATCGCGAAGCATGTTGTCGTACGCACCTGCAGTTGGAGTTACACGGGTTTGTGTGGTGTTGGTAATGACAATGGAATTGGCATTGGCATGGACTCTGATTTGAACAATTTTTGGCCTGTAGCAACTCCAATACTTTTTAGCATGCTCATAAGGGATATGGATATGAATCATATTAACAATTCTAATAATCTAATAATCCTACTGTATCTTTTTCAAATGGACTACCAAAATGATATCTTTGTCAAATGGACAACCGAAGTGAGTTTTATCCATAAATTTGTTAAATGGGTCTTTGATTTTATTCTTTATTTATTAAATTAATTTTCATTCATATAGGTTATTGCTTTTAAGAAGAAGTGAAATGATGAACTTAAAGCACTTGATAGATATGGTGGAAAGTTGTAGTCTAAGAGTTTTTGAAATTTGACCGATCAGGTTTGCAATCTCTTATTTGTTTCATTCAACAATGTTGTGGTATATTATCTTTGTGAATTTTTTAATCATAATATAAGAATTCAAATGAAATTATAGATAATGGAACGAAGGTTACATGAGAGTTATTTTTGTAAAGATTGTGTTGTAAAGAAAGATGGTTATAAAGCAGTGAGTTAAGTAAGCAAACTTGATAATAAAAGTAGACTAATTATAAAGTAGTAATTTAAGTATTCACATTTCATAATAAAAGTAGACTGTACTATAAGAAAACTTCATAATAAAAGTAAAGTAATTATAAAGTAGTAATTCAAGTATGCAAATTTCATAATAAAAGTAGACTGTAGGTCCATTTTTCATTTAAAACTTGAAAGTATATATACAATAGATACTATATGGAAAACTTGAAAGTGTATATACAGTAGATCTTAATGATCTATACGCCAAAAGAAACCATAAAAAGATGGCTGTCAACTGCAGTTACCTACTATTTACATACCGAATCTATTCGCAAAAGATACTATTTACATACCGAATAGACCTCTATATTCTATTCGCAAAAGATATGTAGAGGATAGTTACCATCTTTTAACAAACCATAGTTACTTTGTTTTTTTGGAGGGCCTTGGATTGCTTGCCCGAGGAACATCTTCTTTCACAGGAAGTGCTAAAGGTGGGACCGATTCAGAAACTTTTTGTTCAATTGGAGAGGAGCTGGAACTTGGAATTTCTGGAACAAGATGCTTTGTCATTAGAATTGGTTCTGGCTTATTCTTTGGAAGCAAGTATATAACAGGAACTTGCTTTGAATTCTTAACTTCAACAGGTTTTTCAATTTCACCAGCCGATGGCAAAGGAACTATGGCTGCAAGAGAAGACACATTTTTGGTTGTTGATGTGCCTTCACCGATGTTTGATCTATGGACCATGTTATCAGACTCATTTGACACATCAGCATGATCATTTACTTTGTAAGCTTTAACAATATTCACTTTGATGTCTGTTGTTCCTTGAAAATGCACTTCGTATGCACGAACGAAAGCAACAATATAAACAGAGTTGATTGCAGTGGCAATGGAATTGCATAGAGTCTCACCCTGTTACACATTAACAAATGTTAAAAAGAATTTATATAATTATAACCTGACATGTTTTACAAGGTTAGATAAAATGTGTATTTACAGTTTCTTCACTGATTTGCACATCTTTTGGAGAGAAAGGTATAAACTTTTCAATTTCAGGTGTGTGTAAATTTGCTTTCATCACTCCATTTTCATCCGCAATCAAAATAGTTAACCTTGACCTAAAGGAAATTTAATAGGTAAGAAAAAATATTTTAAGAAGATTCATGCTTACATCTGTTGAATTTCTGATTCGATGTGACAAGAAGGACAGGTAACAATCCAAGTTGTGTCAGCTTCTATAGACTTGAAGCAATTGGAACAGGCAGTGTATGATAAGTTACGTTCTTGTTCAGGATGACTCAGGGTGCCTTTCACCCAAGCAGTTTTCATCTATTTTATATGTAATGTAAATGTAGCTGAAACAAATTACATATGAAACATAATTGTAAAAATGAATTTTTTTAAAGTCGAAAAATAGCTTACAGTGTCGAAACGTGAAGTTGCAGAAAGAATAGAAGATATGTTTGTTTCAGCTGGATATGGTAGAAGGAAATCATTTCTTCGGTAGTTTGTGACTGATAGCAAGTCATTTATTTCCTTTCGGTTGTTATTGTACCTAATTTTGTCAGATAGATGTATTAGTGTATAAATCAAGATAAATAAAAATGGAAGTTATTTAATAGTGTATAAAAACAGAAAAAGTAAGTATGTTACCAGTTTCTTCCATCTTTAATAAGTCATCCGCACGCCCTATACTACCAGGAGCAATAAGTTTTTCTGCAGCTGAACGCAAACCATGCTTTCTAAAAGGGGTTGTTTTATTTTATTTTTTTTTAAATACCTTGATGCCAGCCTAGTTCTCCTAAAGGAAACATTAAAAGATACTGCAGAGGATCATAACAGCCATAAAAATACTTTATATTTCTAGAGTCAGCTTGATGGGTTGTAACTCGGATATCTCTTGGACCACACTCCCCATTATCTTCACCGTCTACCCAAATTGCAGCAACCTGCGACACATCGGGTTTATTATAGACTCTTTGGTCTTGAACAGCAACAGTTTTAAGAACAATCTTATAAGTATCCAAGTCTCCAATATTCTTCAAACTGTGGAGAAAATAAGCGTATGGATTATGTTGAAGATATTTTATACACTTCTGAACCAGAGTTTCACATATCAGTGGACAAACCATTACCCTATTTTGGATCTCATGTTCAGTATCATGAATATATAATTGCAGATTTTTATGCCGGTCATTCTCAGAGTATAAACCATTTATAAAATGATACATCTGACCTTGAACTCTAAAAGTATAAATCCCGCTGTCTCTCTTATTGAAATTAGGATTAGATGTAACACCTAAGGATGTAAAAGCGAAATGGTTATTATATGTTCTAATATATGTTCTAAAAACCTTTGCTTGGTGACAGTCTGAAGTTAGAAGTTCAATCATGACTGTTGGAAGATGATTACTATACAAGACAACACTGCCATCTAAACAGCAAAAACCCGATGTTTCTGAATAGAACTTTAAAGCACCACAATGATGACAGTCAGGAACGTAAGGTAAGATATCAGCAACAACAGGAACGAACTTTAATAGAGCTCTACCTGTTGCATGACCAGCAATATTATGCTTATTTTTACGATTTTCTTGCTTTGAAATAGATTTCCTTATGTAACCTTTTTTCCGTTCAAGTCTTTGTTGTTTCCATCTTAAAATAGCACGTTTCCTATATGCTTTCCTATCCTCAAAATCCAAAGAAGGCTGAACATCCTTCATGATAGATTTATCAACCTTTTCAATGAGAAAGAATAGATGAATATAGATGTGCAATAAGAAACTAAACAGTCATCATCTGTAACCAATAATAACATATTTGAAGACGTTTCAGATGAAAAGAAGGCAACACCTGATCATAAGATAAGCCTGAAGACGATAATCTACAAGAAAAAAAAAGGAAAATTTTAAGGAGAATATAAGCAACAAAACAAATATTACTAACCAAAAAAATAGCATAACCCATTAGAATAAGATATTTGTATAGACCTTTAGCAAATCAGATACCATTCTTTGTAAAAACAATAACGAAAACCATTTCAAATCAGGGTAAAAGAAGAAACATGACAATACTTCTCATGTAATAGCAACATCATGAACAATTGGAGAAACAAAATATAAATAAAAACTCAAACGTCATGAAAATAGAATTGCCTCTCATACCTTAGGTCCCCCTAATCAGCATGCGTAAAATCCTACTGCACAACAAATTCGAACCCTTATAAACCCTCAGAATAAGTACGCAGATCTAAGAAGAATATCAAAGGAAACTCTCGTAATGTGAAAAGTAAAAAAAAGACCAACAAGTAAATAAATATCTGAAACAATGAATACCAATTGATTTAATTGGGCAAAAAGATAATCCGCTTACTTTAATTGGACCATACCCTAGACAACATACATGGCCAACACGTAGCATGACTAAAGGCGGTGTAAGTACAAATATCCAAAATTACTTGTGGGGGAAGAAAATTGTTTGGGATAAGCACCACGTAAAATAAAAATAAAGCCCAAATTTATTAGGTAAGAATAAAACAAAAGTAAGGATGATAAATAAAATAAATTAGTTAAAAAGAAAATTGAAAACAAAAAAGACCACAAAAGGAGGCATCAATCAGACCAAAAATTGGAAAAAAAAAAAATAAAGTATATTGACATATACGTTAAAACTTGCCGCCACATTTTTCTCTATTGGAGGAACTAAGCAAAGAAAATTGTTTGGGATAAGCACCAGGTAAAATAAAAATAAAGCCCAAATTTATTAGGTAAGAATAAAACAAAAGTAAGGATGATAAACAAAATAAATTGGTTAAAGAGAAAATTGAAAACAAAAAGGACCACAAAAAGTAGGCATCAATCGGACCAAAAATTGGAAAAAAAATTAAAGTATATAGACATTAGACATATATGTTAAAAGTTGCCGCCACCGTTTTCTTTATTGGAGGAACTAAGCAGCTGGATGACGTGCACCAAAGTAGTAATCTTGAATATATATATATATATATATATATATATATATATATATATATATATATATATCTATTATATATATATATATATCCTTATTTTAATTAAAGAATAAGTTTATTATTCTTTTGACACGTGTCACCCTATTATGCCTCATAATTAATGTCATGTCATTTAACAATTGATTCTCCATTTTAAATATCAAAAATTAAATTTCCCACTTTAATTATATTAAATTAGTTACATTAGAATAAAAATCAAAATAAAGTTAATACAAATTATAAGGTGATATAATTTAACGTATTTATTTAAATCAACGATTATAAATTTATATAACTAAAAAAATATTTTAATTAATAATTTATTTAAAATGATTTATTTAAAGTAATTGATTAATAATTTTGAGTTTTTAGTATGAAAATTTAATTAATTTTGTAATCGTGGTTCCCACGGGTTATAAACTAGTATATATATATATATATATATATATATATATATATATATATATATATATAGAGAGAGAGAGAGAGAGCTAGGTTCAAATGTGGATTGACATCTATCGTGTGGACGTGTGGACAGTAGGGATGAGCATTAGGACCGCCGAAACCGGAATCGAAACCGGAACCGAAATTGGTAACAAAGTCTGGTTATCAGTTCTCCATTTTTATGAAAACCGGAGCTGGTTTGACAATTTTCCTGTTTTTTAAAATATGCATAACTCACTCATATGAAGTCGAAATTATTTGATTTTTTTTTCAACATGTAATTTGGAGTTTGTAATTCATTTTTTACTATACAAACATATGTTTTGGTTAGATATTGAATCAGACACATGCCCCGAAAAAAAAGAATATCGATGTTGCATTTTTTCTATTTCAGCATTTTTTTTTTGTTTTTTTGAATATGTCCTATTTTTTTAAATGTGCATAACTCATTCATATGACGTTGAAATTACTTAATTTTTTTTCCAGCATGTAATTTGGTGTTTGTACTTCATTTTAGACTATAAAAACATATATTTTGGTTAGATATTAATTTTTTTTCCAGCATGTAATTTGGTGTTTGTACTTCATTTTAGACTATAAAAACACATATTTTGGTTAGATATTGAATCAGTTATAGACCTCGGAAGACAGCATATCAATGTTGCGTATATTATGTTTCAACATTTTTTTTTGGAATCTGTCCCGCTTTTAAAATGCGCATAAATCACTCATATGAAGTTACTTGATTCTTTTTTCATCATGTAATTGAGTGTTTGTACTTCAATTTATAATATAAAAAGTCATAATTTGATTAAATATTGAATCATTTATAAGCTTCGAAATATAACATATCATCTATAATATTTCAACCGGTTCTAGTTTGAAAAATAACCGAAAAACCGGGACCGGAACCAGAACCAGAACCAGAACCGACGCTAGAACCGGCGGTCCGGTTCCCGGTTCTTATAATAAAGGAAAACCGGTTCCGGTTCCGAACCGGTCCGGTTCTAAGGCTCATCCCTAGTGGACAGTGCTATTCTGTGAAAATGACAAAGAAAATATGTTGTTTTCTAATGTGAATACGTTCAATCTTACTATTATCATTATCACTAATTAAATCGTCTATAAGGTTATTATAGACTTTTTTTTTATTATTCTCATTCTGTCATAATATTGTCAAAATGTTTATTGAGTCATATTTTGTAAGAATGAAAATGAGTAAAAACGATGTGTGAGAACAAAAATGAATAAGAATTAGTGAATAATGCATGAAAATGACGATAGTTGTGTAAGGTTAAATGTATTCACATTAAGAAACAACCTATTCTCTTAGTAATTCTCATAGAGTAGCATTGTCCACACGTCCGCACAATAGTTGTACATCCACATTATAAGTGTTATATATGTAAGAAGGATATATAAACGGTCATCATTGGATGCACATCATCACATTTACATCTCCTCCATTTAAAAAAGGAACTATCGACCAATTTTTATTCCATAAGCACTAACATTTGGTTAATTGGTTTCACTAAACAGGAGACATGCGATTCTTTACTTTAAAACTTTTAAAGATTCTCATCAGTCAACATCAAACATTTCAGTAACCATATGCTTAAAGTAACAACATCATAATATGTTCACACTTCACACACAACGCACCCACAGTGTGTGAACTCCTTTAACTATAAATACCCATGATCACCCACACCCATATTCCCCAACTGATCTCCTCAATCTTATCTTAGAACTAATTAAGTGGTTTGTTTGAGCAATGGAAAGTCAAAGCAGATTGGTTGAAGTTAAAGGCAAAGAAATACGAAGAGTTGTAAGCCTTCCACCAAGAAGAGGCGAAATTAAAGCCAAAATTCTTGGTCATATCATCAAGGAAGTTAAAATCTCTACATCAATGAAGACCCCAAAATCTCTTTCTTCATGTTGTCGATTTTCTTTTGAGGATTGATTGTTTGGATATCATTTTACTTAATTATATCTTACAAGTAGACAATCTTTTAATTTGTTATATTAAATTAAGAAATCCTTTATTTGTTTTATGACAGATAATGATGTGTTCCCAATCGAGATCGAAATAAGACTATAATGTAATATATGTTAGTACTCAAGAGTCTTAACGTTTTTTCACTAAATCACAACTTTAAAAAAATTAACATATAACTTTACTACTGCACGTTATTATGGCTACCATTCCTATGCCAAAATTTGGAGTTCTAAAAAAGAATTAAATCCCTATCCCTATTCTCTAACAAAAGAGTCTTGATTTTGCCACGTGTCACTTCCAGATCCATATTCCTTCAAACTAAATTTACCATAATGCCCTTATTTTGTTTAAACTTCGTAGACAGATAATTTTCCACCAATTTGGTTTAAGATTAACAGAGCCATAGCTGTCGCTAAAAATCCCTATTATAATAAAAGAGTCTTGATTTTGCCACGTGTCACTTCCAGATCCATATTCCTTCAAACTTAATTGACCATAATGCCCTTATTTTGTTTAAATTTCGTAGACAGATAATTTTCCACCAATTTGGTTTAAGATTAACGTGGCCGTCGTTTTCGCTGAAAACCCTACATAAAAAAAAACATTGTCGTCTCCCTTTCTCCCTTCCGCGTTTCTTCGTTTCCAGGATGAAGCAACGACCAATGTTACTTCCTCAAAGATTTGAAGCAGATTCATCGAAGACATACACGTTTTCTATAATAGTTTGCAATTTTTGTTTTCATTTTGAACTGACGCTGGTCTCCATACCACCGTATCCATCATCTCCAACGACAACCCTAAATCGCCAATCACCACCGGCTCGATACCGTAACCACCACTACGACCTAGCACACCATATAACCCCAAAACCATCTCACCATCTCTTTCTATCTGTATGTTAATATTCAGATACCCTAATGGCAGCAGGAAGCGACATATCGAGTATAGGTAAATGTACAAATATCTTGCTCTTTTGAAATCGACCTGCACCACCATTGCCACAACTTCATCATTCTCTCTTTTTGCTAATCTAATGTTTGATTTTGTCTAATTTCATTAGTTTATATATATATATATATATATATATATATATATATATAAAACTAATGAAATTAGACAAAATCAAACATTAGATTAGCAAAAAGAGAGAATGATATATATATATATATATATATATATATATATATAGACACACACACACGAAGTCCTTTCTTTATTTTATAGCAATCTTTATGACTTTTTACTGAATCTTAGTGTTTTTCTTCGTTGAA